AATGTTCAGCCCATCGATCAAGATGGCGTTGCTGATCGTGAATCAGTGTGTCATCGGATTTCTCGATTACCTCACTTGCGCCCTTTTTCCTACTCAGAGGGAAAAGATTGCGACGACATATATATATATATATATATATATATATATAGTGATCTCGCGAAATATGCAACATTTTGGTTGGTGTTAATTTTGGACTGCTCATTTGGTTACCGAATGAGGATAGAATAATTAAAATAACTAAAGCTAGTCAAACCATACTTTTTATTACACACAATTGTGTGATGAACAGCAGACGGGGAAAGCCCTACAGTCATGAGGAATTGCTGCTTAGTGACAGACAGGATAGGTGACATCCGAAATATCCATGATCGATTTTCAGGAGCCAGCAGCAAAAGTAAGTTACCCTGTGGTTGAAAGTTTTGCACATGCAAGTTCGCCTACGGCCCGTTTCTCAGTTGCTTACTTCACCCAGCCTCGTCTATAAACGGAACAGATTAGAAAAACTACGGGAAAAAAACACGGGACAAAAGAAACAAGAGGAAAACGCTTGGAGTGAAGTAAACTGTTGTCAACTGCGTACATGGTAAGAGTCATTCTGTGTTCTTAGTGTATTGTAAATCGCTACAAACCTACTAAATGCAAAGGAATGCTACAGAAGAAAAAAACTTACTGGGACTACTCTGCAAGGAAAGTCTGGCGGTAAATGCAGTTTGAAAGGAAAAATACCACCGTGGAAGTAACCACTACGCACGGATATTAAGCCTTGCCATTCTGTGGGGGAAAATTAGCAAATCTGCTAACAGGAAAATGGATAAACTCACCCAAGGGATTTTGTGGATCCGGAAGAATGTAAACACCAGTTGGGTGACGATGGCTAAGCAAATTTCTGTTTATGTTCAAAAATGAAAAATGAAAAACAACTTACAGTTCGGCAAGGATAACATAACCCTGTGTAAGCATGATTCCGGATCACGGCGTTTGCTACGATAAGGTGCAGTTCACATCGAAGCAACGAAAAGAAGCCTTTGGTGTGGAAATAAATCCTGGAAAAGAGCATTTCAATCATAGAATAAACCAGCAAATAAAGTTCTTCAGAGCTGTTTTCAGAACACTCAATGATATCCCTACTTCTTTATAATTGAAATTTCGGGTAACAACTGTGTCCAGACAGATGACTGAACATCATTCATCTTTTGAAAGGAAGCTTAACCATCAAGATATGATGTCCAGGCCAGGGAACTTTAACTACTTAAAAGAGTAGTGGAGTCGTTTTAGGGAGAAATAGGGACTTGCTCCTGCATAATTGCTCGGAGCCAGTCATAACTATGGCGAAAGCGTGGCGTGAAGCTGAGTACTGCCGTGTACGAAACGTATTCAGGTTACCAGGGGTGCCACCACATATCCAGTATGTCAAGTGCCATAAAGTAGGGTTTTGGAGTGAGATGGCTTAGGTATACTACGGCCTCCTGGTGGTGTTTCCGATCACGTGTGGAAGAGATCTTTCATCCAGAGCTTTCAGGATGGACAATATCAATCAGGGGCGCACAGTGGTCACCTTTGATGGTTCCAGCAGTTTTCAATTCGTTCACAACTTAACCACGCAGTTTCGTTCGCAGCTTTTTGTTGCTCTCTTTCGGCTGCCCATTTGGATGAACAGTAGGAGAAGGACAGGAAAGTGAAAACGAACAGAAACTGGAGAATTTCAGTGCACTACGGTTGCACGGAAATTGAGAAGATGCACGAACACCACAGTTCACGACACTCAGCCATATCATTCATTGCCCCTAACTACCGGGTACGATCATCCTGAGGTCCCCTGCAAGGGAGTCTAACAGGACCTATGTGACTCAGCGTCATAGCTAGGGTGACAAGTCTTAGTTTGCCGGATTTCGATCCTTTTCCAACCGCTTCCAGCCTCAGTAAACATAGCGCACTGTGGCGATCCGTTTGGTGACATCCGTGACATCCAATCAGCCGGGTGTCACGACGGCGCCACAGATGTCTCAAGTTGGCAAATGCCAACCCAGTCTCCTGTATGCGATCTGACACTTCATCCGCGATGCGTCCACAGGGTGAGATATAGCTACCTAAATAGCAAATTTGCTTACTTCTTCTACCACTTCCCCAGTTAGGCTGAGCCTGGGTGCTCGACCAACCTAGTCTTGTAGTAGCATTTTACACTTTGAAGGTACAAAACGCATACTTACCATGGCTACGCCGCCACTCAAGCTATCTAGAAGAGCTTGCCATCACGATGAGACTACACCTTGACGTGGTGTGATGGCTTGTGTGCTTTCATGACCCTGCGAGCTATACAGGATAGCTTCTCACAGCCGCAGATCCAATCACGCTTGAAAGGTCAACGGGTAGAGGCCAGACAAAGATCAGTCTCACAAGGCCAGCTGATTGGGCACCTGGCTTCGTTCTTCTATTCACACCCGCCCCTGAAGAGGTCACCCCAGCGAATAAACACGGTGAGGGGCAGTTCACCGGCCCAAAACACCCTGCTAGATGGACTTCGGTGCGGGGTACCTGGGGCTTCCTCCCGACGGTGGGAGAAGTCTTCGCACTTCATTAGACAGATACCAACTGCCCAAGTTGGGCAGCCCCCAGCCAATAAGGTGCTATCCCGTACACGTTCCGCTTGTCTCATTGGGTGCATGAGACTAAGGGCCGATCCCGAAAAGAGGACTGATAATCAACGCATAGGCGATCAACAAACTTAACCGAAATCCGAAGGCCTTGTGTGACAGGTCTCCAGAAGCTCCCACACGGGTGCTTCGTTCACGCTCCCGCGTTGGATTTACACCCCACTGCCTTGTGGGTCAGACTTTTGAGTCGAAGGCTTCGGTTAGGGTTCCCGAAGAAAAATCCACAAACTCCCGCTTCCTTGCAGGTTAGACTTTTGAGTGAAAGGCTACGGTTAGAGTTCCCGAAGAAAAACCCCTTTGTCGGTGTGGACAACCGCGAAGTATGTCGTGCCCTAAAGTCTTAGGCACTCATCTGGAAAACCTCCTTCCTAGCTGTTTAGTACTTCCTCTCAATCCCGCATAATTCCAAACGCCTGTTGTTTCCAAGACCCATCGTATATCACTCAGCGTTTTACCAACACGTCCAAACAGTCAGAAGTTACAGGATTTTTGAAGCCGGAATTCCCTTTTCATTTAGCCCCGTTCAATTTCTGCACCGACCGATTGCAGTACACCAGAAATGAAAGATGAATTCTACAGGGACCTTTGACGATACCCCAAAGCGTTCGATCAACGGGCATTGTGGTAATCGCCGGAAAATTCAATGTCCAAGCAGGATCTCTGGACGAATCAGACAGAATTCTCGGTGGACCACATGCAATCCCAGCCAACCGAACAGACAACGGCGATCGCCTACTTCAACTCTGCGCGTACCACGGATTGTTCCTGTTAAGCACCAACTTCTCGCACACGAAACGACACCGCCTCACATGGAAAACGTCAGCCTCTTCACACTGCTGGACCCAAATCGACCAAATCGCCAAAGGATGTGTTCAATTCAAGACTGCCGCCCTTACTGATCAACACTCGTGGATACGGATCACGTTCTGCTACTAGCCAAATTCTGCGTACGCCTGGCAAACAACCGCATAAAAGCCACCGACAACGGATACCCAAGATACAACGTCCGCGATTGT